GAATGCATATTATTACTATAGTCAGTGTTTGTAAAAGTATTACTATACTGTTTGTTTTGGTGTTTTTCGTATTAAGACTATATTATTTTAAATAGTACTACTAGTAGTATAATATATAGTGTTTCTGTAGTTGTTTTTTGACCACACTATAGAACACTCCTATAGTAATATGATATTGTTATTAAGCTTGTTCCTNACTTTGGCGCTGTTCTGAGTCTGTTCTAATCCGTCAAAATGACGGACTGCTTTCAGATTTTTCCGTCATTGTCAAAAGAATTCCATCATAGACAGAATATATTCGGTTAACGCGACCTCTGCTCACCCTCTGTGTGTCCGTCTCTGTGTTCTGCCACTCTCCTCTACCCCCCAACCCCCCACCCTGCAACACCCGGCTGGCTTTCTGGTCTGTGTCCATCTGTCTCCTCTCAGCTTTGTGTGACAGAGAAGTCATCAGGAGGATTCAGCAGGAGAGTGACAAGCCAAACTATTTCAATCCTCAGTCTGCATGTCTAAAAAGTTGGAAATCACTCAACTTTGGTCTGCACAAATGGTCCTCGGAGTCTCAGTCACATGCAACATGCTCCCTCGGCTGTTGTTGGACTGTGGTTCTGCTATCCACTAGAGTTCAGCATATTGACTGTAATGGCTTTGGAATTCATCATTGGTTGTTGTGGTTGTAAAGGTTTTATAGTGCAGCTTGGACTGTGCAAAACAGTCACACTGACATGAGGTTTCTTTTTAGCCGCAGCTGTTTCAATTTCCTCAAATGTTGGAACTTGATAAATACAAAACAACCAATGAAATAATGACTTTTGCTCATGCAGGTCATCGATTTTCTTGGACGAAAATGTCATAAATCTGTTCAGACCGGACTTTAGAATCATTTAGATCTAGCTTTTTTCTTCACTTGAAAGCTCTAACCTCACTACTCAATAATAATTCAAGATTCTGTGATGTGCAAATTATCATTTAAAATTTATAGAATGAGTTCAGCTAAGATATTGAAACAATTTCGGAATCTGATATAATATAACATTTGGGCTCCTTGTCTCCAAAAACACGTTACTAATACACCCCGTCTTTATCTGTTAAACACAAAATCTCCCATCTGGAGGTTGTATTGTAAGCGCAGCTAGCGTCCCTCTCATCTGTTGTCTCCCTGAGTGATGAAACAAATCAAATAACAGCAGGTATCTCGTGGTGCCATTGGATATTAACGTGATCAATGCTGCCAGTTTTATTCACATTTAGAAAAGACATGTTTGAGAAATGATCTTTCTCTTTGTCTGCATGGTAAGGTTTTTACCGTGTCCTATGCCTATACCAATACATGCTACACTGCTCTTCATAAAAAGTGTACTTTGACAACTTGATAACATCTTCATGGTCATAGGAAGGCAGTTAAACAAACCCAAGGACGTTTCAGATATACAACGGGACACAATACTGTAAGGATTGGCACTCAAACACAATGACTAGCTGAAATTGGCCAAAAAGTAAAAAGAAATGCTGTGATTTAAAACAGAACTATTGGTTGAATTATTTGTTTTTATAAAAAAAACGTTTCAGGGATGGTCCCGGGTTAATGTTATTCTTCTCCAGTTGTTTTATGGTGTGAAGTTTTCAAAGATATAGCCCTGAAGCCTGTGATCTGGTCCCTCAAAAATCGAACATATTTGATCAAACATATTCAAGCCATGTGTCCTGTTGTGTGTGGGAGTCGCCGGCTGAATCGAAGGCTAACACCCACAATAGCCAATTAGAACAAAGCCTGCTGCTACATTCTGGATGTGCTGCAAGTCATTTAATTGACTCATAACAGTTCTTGCCAAGATAAATTCAAATACTGATCCATTCATCAATTATTCATGCCTGCTGATCACACACACACACACACACACACACACACACACACACACACACACACACACACACACACACACACACACACACACACACACACACACACACACACACAAACAATAGCAGGTGTCCTGCTCAAGACTGGCAAATTGCAATGCACCTCCAGTTCATTTCACAAAATATGCAAGCCGCGCTGTGGCTCATCCACATTTTCTTTCTTCTCAGTCCTATTGTTTTATCTTTGTGCATATCAGTACAATGCACACAATGCGCAGCTAGTCCAAAGTATTGCGGGGTAAAGCGAGATTATTTGAGATCTCAGGTTCTGAGGCTGGCAACGACTCTGTATCGTGCCATATGTGGTGCTTGCCAGAACGCGCATTGTGTGGGTTAAAAACAAACAAAAGAGGCTGTATCGGTGAATACATAACAGTTCTGTCTTCCACAAATCAAAGAAAATAAAATGTTGTGCAGTGTGTCTGCAACTCGTCTCTTTGAATGATGTGAAACCACGAGTGTATACAAAAGAAAGGCCCATAAAAATAGGCAACCGGTACATACAACTACAGAGATGAAAAGGAAACCAGAGCTGAGTTACCTGTGTGTTGAAAAGCAGTCTTCCAAAGAGCTGCCGGGACTCCTCCAAGCCTCCCTCCAAATACACAGCACCTAAAAAAGACATAGTTTGATTGTAAATGGTGTAAGATACTGTGTATAACATGCAAACCCACACACATTACAAAACTATGAACAGCATTCAAATCCATTGCTGCTGTGAAAAATATCCTACAATTCTGAGGCAATTTCAGACTTCTCTGCTAATGGAAAACTTAAAATTAATTGAACTCGGCAATGAGTTATAATTGCTTTATTAAAAAGTAGGAGTGCACTTTTATTGCTTTTTGGTGGTAAAAATAACCTTGGGTTTCAGATTCACCTTGCCCTTGTCAGAGCACATGAGGAGGAGGAGGAGGAGGAGGAGGAGGAGGAAGGGATGGTTGCATCAACACCGGGAAAGAACGGGACAAGGTCACATAAACATCAAAATTGCAGTAGGCTGAGCCTTGTCACAGGCTAAGGCTTGAATGGGCCAGGCAAACACACACTAGCCCACACACAGACCTATGTTCTACATGGTCAAAGGCTTTCATGGAGGGTGCGGACAAAAGTATAATGTCTCTTTGTCATTCGCCTACACATACGGACCCGAGTTATCTGTGCAGACCCACACAAACAGACTGTAGTGAATACGACTTGAATTGTGACCGAGGAAAAACACAATCTCAACACAACACACACATAAAAGACAAAGCAAGAAATACGATGGAGGATTGGTCCCAAATTGCAGAGAGCTGCTGTCACAGCGAGCAAAGAACGAGACAAGTGTCCCGAATGTATCTCTCTTTGGGAATAATATGCAGCGACTCCAGCTCATTCAGTCGCTATAGTCAGCTCCTTTACACAACTGCTTTGTGTGTTCTGTTGTTTTGCTCTTCTGCTGTTTCTACTGAAATCAGTGGAACTATCATGGTGCCTTTAAGCTGCATACAACTTCGAACCATCACACTTAGGGTGGCTCATTCAATTTAGAAGGCAATAACCACCTGGCAAATTGGGTATACGATTGTGCAGCGGTTTTTATTATGTGCATAAATGAGCCAGTGGAAATGGGGCGAGGTGCGGTTGCAAGTCTAAATGCGCAAACTGCTTTCATGGACGACATCAAAAACATATGAGGGATCCATCATCTGAGGAGGGAAACTGCTTTCAGATGGCTAACAGGCCATTTACACAAACACACACACACACACACAGCCCCCTTAGACAAACATTGAAGATGCAGCCTACATCACCAAAACCATAAAGAAATACAAACAAACCACCTAGCACAAAGACAAACACACACCCACTCTTTCTGCCTTTCATGCCCTTTACTTATAAACAGAGGGGGAAATTACTGCCAGACGTCGGCCAAATGTTTGTGAAATTTGATTAAGCCCGACAACTTCGTCTTACCCTAGCAGCTACTTTGGCTAATAACAGGCTTTTATAAATGTGGATGCCCTTTACTAATATATAAATCTAGCCGACAAAATAATGAAAGAATTTGGAAGGCACCAGGTAATGTGCTTTTTAAACAGAAGATTACATTTCATGCAATGCTTATTATAACCATCCCAAATCAGGAAACACAATATGTCAGTAAATCAATATGTATAACACAGATGTTCATCGGTAGGCAGGGCTTCTGAAATCTTGGCATGTCGGGGTTTCACTGAGGCTGACCGCAGGAAGCCTAGGAGAGGGGAGCGGTTCTTCGCAGGATGTTTCCCACTAAGCATGAGCTCTGAGATTTGTGGTTTCACCATAATGTGGACTTCAGTTCTAGACGCCTCTACGTAGCAGATGTTTCCTCTGGAGACCAGCTGTGGGAGGAGAAGAACTCCCTCCAGGACGATGTTTTGAACGTCTTTTAACTATCACTCATAAAGCATTCATGTGTGTTAACACTGAAGCTAGCTTGATGTGGGTGGGGCCGCGAAGCAGCTTTTTTTTCATGTTCTGATGACACAGCAGATTCGGAGAGTTCCCCAAATGGGAGGCCTCAAAGTTTTTCCTTCCTATTACATTTTTAAAACTTCTTCCAAGCGTTAGGAGAAGGTAGGGGGTAAGCAGGGAGGAAGGGAAAAACCAGGAGAGCCTCAAGGGATTTAAAAAGGTATTACAAATCTCAAAGCAACACCTTTGGTGTCAATCAAAGGGCCTGTGGATGAAGAAACCAAGATATGCGCTTAATTCTAGCGAGAACACTTTTGACGAGGCGGCTGTCCGTGCAAAAAAAGCATGCCTCAAAGCGATCCAATCAATCGCACAACTTGCTGCAATCCTTAAACGGAGTTCTGTGCTTCACAGTAAACCCCGTCAGCCTGCAGAGTTGCAGCTGACGCCCTGAATACACACAGCCCACAAAGACGCCCAGCCAACTCAACGGGCAATGATATGCTAGCATATCTCCGCAGCTCATCTCGCAGTAACATCATGCACGGGTCAAATCCCTCTGTAGTCTCAGAGCTCCGGGACATTCAACCCCCTAAGTTGTGAAAACAGCGTACAATAAAGAAGGACTACATCCAAAGAGGTAAACCTGCCTGGAACATGCAGAGTTACTGACACTGCGGTGGTGGGCCCAGTTGTTTGAGTGTTCCCTTTTGAAAAACTTCAGGAAATGTGATTCACAAGCCTTTTTTTTTCAATCTCTTATGTCATTTGAACTTTAGAACTTTGAATGTATGACATACTTAAATATCTCAACTCAAATTTCAGCACACCTAACCTCCAATTCTCCCAAAGCTCATTACCTCTTTTGCCATTTTGATAAATGGTCACTGTTGCACTGTTCTTTGCAATCTTTCCCTTGTAGATTTGTTGGATACTTAGCTTAAAGAATAAGGGGACTTTCCAAACTTTTTGTATTGAACCAAAAAAATGATACTAGAGTCAAATGGAACCCAAACTGGAAGTGATAAATCAAAACTTTTCTTGCAGTACTGTGTAGAGGATATCATTCAAGGCCATAGAAGGCCTGCCATTAATGAATCTCCACATCTGTCACAAGTGTAATGCAGACAGCCATGCCGACTGTACAGTGTTATGTTTAGGAATAGAATTCCAATGTCTGTGGGCTTTCAGTGACCAATAAAAACCCAGAGTCAGGGGCATATGAAACACCAGCGGCTGACAGTCACATTAATAACCTAGAATGAATTATTCAAAAACGCTCAGGCTCTAATCCATCAAATAATATATTAAGCCGCTCCCTCTCGGCCCGATGGGGACTGAAACAGCAGACGGACACAGAAAGCAACACATTCAAGTAAAAAAAAAAGAAGAAACCAAAACATTTTTTTTTACTACAGCACCGACAAAGGCAGGCTGAGAGCATTGTAACATCAAACATCTTACTTTTCAAAGATGACGTTTAGAGCGGGGGGGGTAAGAAAGAGAAACAAAAAAAGAGTGTGCTCAAGAAACCAACTCCACCACTGCAGCAATTAACAAAGGAAGCAGTACTCGCTCAATGAATACACCGGCTGCATTGTGTATGAATCTGATATTCAGCAAGTGAGAGATAATCCTTTCTCTCCGTTCTTTTAATAGGAAGAGCTTAGAGAGGGCCCTCACAAAGGTTCACCATCTGTATCCCCCATGGCTGCTGGCAGCGTATAATCCACAGATCAACTGTACAAGGAAATTAGGGCCATAAAAACAGAGTGAGGCCTCTTTTCTTCTTCTCTCAATTCTTTTCAGACTGTTCGGAAAGGGAAGGAAGCGACGAAGGCTTATCAGTGAAGAAGACCTGTGAGGGAAACGGCAGGGCAACAGGCGTGCAGAGTTTCTATGAATAAGCAGAGGGGGGGGGAAAAAGCGGCTTCTAAAGAGGAAAAGTGGGCAAATAGTACAGAGGGAGAGGGTGAGAGAGAACGGGGGAGGGGGTGGTACAGAATGGGAGGTGCGCAGGGCAAAAGAGCCCAAATGAGAGTGGCCCACTCCAGCAGAAGTTAATGACAGTGGATCAGAAGAGCAAGATTTCCATTCAACACATTGAATTATTCAGGGTTGCAGGGCACCCATTTGCATTGCAGATGCCTTTGCTTTCCATTCCTCTACTGCTCTCCCTCTGCAGCTCTCTGGCTCTCGTTCCCTCTCTGTGTCTCGAGCTAGAGAATGGCCCTGCCTCGGGGTTAGTAGATACATTCTCGGCTTCATGGAGGAAAAGCTTTGCCCATGCAAAGCAGGAGATTATCTGCCATTTCCAACAAAGCCCAGGTTCAATGGTCACTGTGGCAAGGAAACAAATAAAACAAAGGTCAGGAAACCGTTGGAGGGCCTTGGAAATATTATGAGCATGTCATACTCCATCAGAACTTTCAGTGTGCGAAAAAAGACCCATTTGATTTTCACGCGTGTGAACGCTAGAGGAAATAAACACGGTGAAATAGAAAGAAAAAGAAAAAGTGAAGGAACCTTCAGACAACAAGGCAGCGACACGTCTGCAAGTGCATGTCTGTTGATGTGGCGCCTGCTGCTTTCAGGAGAGCGGCGGTTGATGTCTTTGTCAGATAGAGAGGCGTGCGCGAGGATGACATGACAGCGTTTGTGGGCCCCACGCATCATCTTACCGTGTGAGCGATGCAAGTTTGTGTTGTGAGGAGAAAAGGCTCTACTCCAGTAGCAGGGGCTGGGGGATGAGGAGGTTGGAGATGACAGAGCGACATGATGACTCATCATCTGCGTGGCACATATCTCACCTAATAACACCCAAACTGGAGATCACAAGTTAGAGGAACGCAAAGGGACATAAAGAGTAAGGCTGAGACAGGGGAGACGGAGACGGATAGACGGCTCAACGACAAGGTCTCAAAGGAGGCGTTTGAGCTAAAAAAAAACTGAAATGAAGATGAAGAAAGTCTAAGAGAAAGGAGAGGCAACTTCAGACGGCATTCGCAATTCAACTGACTTTGAAAGTGCGTATGTGTGCATGTTTTGCCCCTCAGCATGTGTGTCTGTAGTGCAACGGGGGGTGGGGTGATATTTTTGAGTTAGTTATCTAAAACCCATCACTGCAGGGTGCTCTCTGACAGCGGTTTTCTCACAGGTTCCTTCATAACAGCTGTTTATTCATCACTTTTAGTAAGTTGAAATATGAAAAAAGGCAAGGGAAAAAAGAAAATAGGGCCGTCCGGTTTCCTGGCCCCGCTGCTTCGCTCGGGTGTGTGCGGCGATGAGGCGACAGCGACAGCCACGGGACAGAATAGATTACGGCTCAGTCTCTGCCGATAATGAACCCGTAACAAGTTCGGGGGCCGCGGGGCCGACAGGGGGCCGTGGTGCCAGTCAGCACTTTCCCCACGCACTGCTGTTTTGGTGCAGGGGGAGGACGGTCTCTTTTTAAAGCCACCCACTTCCCGTATCTATCATCAGGGGAGCGCAGACATGGCTGCACTGGTTCAATCAAGATGGGGATAAGATGAGGAAAGCTGCCGACTCTGCAGCTCTCGGAGAGCGAGGCTTAGCTTAGCGCTGCCCATGGGGTCGCATGGAGAGAGGGATTCGGTCCCCTCCAAGAGTTCTGTGTGTGTATGGTTTTAAGCACGGGGTCCTAATCACTGCACAAACTCCAGCGCTGAGCTGCCAGTGAGACGAATAGCGAGCTTGTGTGTGTGTTGCTCCGGGGATTGCCTCGTCCAGCCAGAGGTCAAACCACACCTCCCGAGATCAATAAAGTGTGTAATGTTTCCAAGGCCTAATGGGAGATCCACTGCAGCTTTTTGCGCAGCTTAACACACACAGACCGGAGCTAAACTATTAAAAGATTCCATTTTATTCAAAGCACCTGAAGTTAGCAGGTGATTAAACCCATTAATGCAGGGCAGCATTAACGATGTAAATGCCTACGTGCTGCTGCAAAGTCCAGCAAAACCTCATTTGAGTCAAATTACAGTATTAAAACCCTACGTAATTTTGTGTTGTGTTTGTAGGAGCGGAGAGACACTATTTGTTTTCACTATATGTAAATCTAGCCTTTTAGGAATAGATTTACATATTTAGTTCACTCAAATGCAATTCTCTTTTTTGTTCCCCCGCACACCCATCATATCATCCCTGCTTCGGTCCCGGGGGAATCTCACCGATAAGAGCCTCAAAGCAGTTGGCCATGGCGTGCCGCAGGTCCGACTCCCGGCACAGATCGGGTCCGTGAGCGTAGAGCATGAAGCGATCCAACTCCAGTTTCTGCAAAAGACAAACACATTCATATCAGTGCGCCGACACCGACACCTCGATAATAGCCTCTTGAAAAAGTAATAGCATTTTTTGGTATTGCACATTTTCATAGGCTCTCTATGGAAAACAAGGGGGGGGGAAAAGGGGGCCAAAAAACTCGGGGGAAATGAAAAAGATTGCCTGCCCTTGCTGGAAAAGGTTCTACTTCATGGCACTGACAGATGTGCCCATGTGTTGTCCAGCTGTGGCATGATGCACTAAGCCAGGACAGGAGCAAAATGTTCACACACACAAACAGAAATATAGTGGCTAACACACACACGGACATGCTAGATAATCCCTAGATAAATTGTGAAATAGTACAGTGGTGACCTTCATTCTGTCTAAAGCGTAGGAAGCTCTTATACTGGTTAAGCACCTATCGCAATAAAATACATTAGAAGTATAAGTTTGCATAACAGAGAATTACTCACCAGGCTACACCACCAACCACCTTATTAATGTTAAAGGGGCGCCATTTTGCACATTGTCCGATTCATATTTGTATTTTGAGACATGTTTAATGTTGAAGAAGGTCTTTATTTTTCTCCTACTGCCTGTGCCCTTTTTCACCTTTAGTGATGTCACTATGTTGTGGAGGTAAACAAATGGGTCCAATGGAAGCGTTTCA